ATGATCAGATTATCGGGTGTCATGGCGACACTCGATGATTTGATCAGAGACATAGACACGGGGAGAGAGAGAGAGAGAGAGAGAGAGAGAGAGAGAGAGAGAGAGAGAGAGAGAGAGAGAGAGAGTTTATAATAATGCGCTCCTACTACCAATGTCCTGCCATTATGACCTATGGCAGACAATTCTATGTGTCTGAATTCTATACATTTTGTCAATTACTAAATTAGAGCCAGTGCGCAAAAATAAAATGACACGACAATACAACCCCTCCGGAACCTGAACATTAACCTACAAACGCGCGCCCATGTAGAAAAATCCACACACACACACACACACACACACACACACACACACACAGACACACACACACACACACACACACTTCATTACACACAAATGTATTTTATCACACACAGACAAATCACTTCTATGCACACAACTAGTCGTCATGCCTTGTCTTTTTTGCCGCAGGTCTCGCCGAACGTCGGAGCACAACATTGTCTGTTGTGTTCCCTTTCCTTGGCTTCTCATTGCAGATTACATCCTCCTTTTGCAATGTGACATGCTGGTGTTCCTCTTGTTTTTTCTCATTCTGTCCCACCTCCCCGTCCTCAGCACACCCTGATTGCTCACCTGACTGTGTGACGATGTCAATGACAACATCGTCATCCTCCCTCTTGCGCTTGGGTTGTTGATGCTTGTCGCCAATCGTCGTGGCTCATTGGAGTTCGTCATCGTTTTTTCTCATTAAGGCCTCAACGTTCTCTTCCCTGTGCACACCACCTGGCCGCCCCTCGAGTACGCTGCCGTCAGAATTGAGTTGAAGCATCAAGTCAGCTGTGTTCTCTGACAAACTTTCTATCCCCTTCATTTGTGGCACTGACTCTTTCCTCGTCAGCTTAGTTTGTTGCATGGGTCCGTGGCCATTTGCGGTTTCGACCCTATGCAAACCTTGGGGGATTCCATTGTTGCAAAGCGATCCGCCGACTTTTTGTCCTCCGCGGATTCCTTCCGTTGCGAGGGGGGATAGGACGATTGTTGTTCGGTCTGCATTCTGTCACTTCGTGACTCGTCGCTGTCGCCCACAGATTTGTCTATATCATTCCTCTCATTAACTTTCTCGTCACTATGAACGGAGCTCGTGAATGGACATCCCGCTGTACTCGCGGAAGCATGGCCACCGTCATGTCCCAATTGCTGACTGTTACCAAGACACTGTTACCAAAACATATTTCACCTTCAAACTCTTGCACCACTTCTTGACTTGGCAATTTCCAAGGGATCCGACCGTGCAACACACTGGATTCAATGTCATTAAATTTTGCGTTGTACTCCAGCATGTTCTGATCTCGCAACTTGTCATAAAGTGCGTCGGCATATGCGCCTTCTGCAAGGTTCTCTGATCCACCGTTCGCCTGCCGCACTTTGATATGAACCTGTTCCTTTGCGATTTCGAAGAACTTGCTCTTCAATACCCGCTTTCGCAATTGCCACTAGCCATCGATGCACATAGCCATGCGCCATTTCCCGTTCCATAGGCAGGGCTCGAAGACCTTTGGGTGCCACAATATATGATGCCCCCATTGGTGGTCTTCTGTCTCAACCACCGTCCCAATGTGTTGTATGAAGTGCGGGCCTCCGGTGAACTCCTTCATGTCCTCTCGAATTGTGTCTCTGGGCATCAGTTTGTCGTCCTCGTCGGGTGGAAGCACGAATTTGATGGCGGAATGGTCCATTCCGCTAACCTGTGCATTTTCCTCCTGGGGGACGTTATATTGCTTCTCTCTTGGGATCTTCGACAGCCCCATGCTCACATACACGTTGTCCAGTTGAGTCAATACCCCGGGGTATCTGGCACTGCTTTCCTTGCGTTTGGATTGGAGATGAGGCTCTTTTCCACTTAACGAGGCCGCTCCTGCATGCAACCCTTCATTGCTGTTATTCTTGCTTGCATTGGTTGCACCAATTGGCCCCCGGATCTCATTCCCCGCACTCTCTTGCATTCCTTGTTCACACGACCTCTGCTCCCCACCACGAATGCTCTCCCGGCTCGCCACAACATCCGTTTTTATCCTTTCCATTGCATGTTGACCCTTGCCGCCGTCCAACGCTTGTCGAACATCTTGTTGAGCACCCGGTACACGCAGATCTACATCTTCGTCCGATGTCTCCTCCTCGCTGTCGAGCACATCGAAGTGCTCACCCGCATCCAACTCATCGGCGTATGTCTTCACACGCAGTCCGTCTTCTTGTTTGTTGAACCACAAACGCTCACACCGCGCTATGAATATCTCAATCGCACTATTTTTCGCCTCATGGTACCCTTGGAGATGTTGGATGACAATCACTTTACGGTGCATATAACCGATGTCCTTTGGAGTCTTCGGGGCTTCACAGAAAAAAGTTTTTTCACAGAGAGTCCCTCTTCTTGCCAAGCTTGAGGTACATGTCTCTCTCTGGAAGCTAAGGAGTTTTTGGTCGTTCGAAGTGGCAACGACTTTCTGGCCTGTGGACCTCTATATCGAGGAATGTGGACGTCCAATCGAGCATTGTTGAATTGTTGTCACACGCAACAACATTGTGATCTGACCGCAGCACTTCCCAGACTGATCCTGCCTGCACATTCCCGAGCAGCAGCACACCTTCGCCATCCTTTGCAAACCATTTGCACAATTCCTTCACTTTTTTTGGCTCTCTCTCCCAATGCCCGTACACGGCTTTTGTATCGCCCGATATCCCAACATGCTCATTCGTGCATTGCACAAATAAGTCCTCCTTCACGTTATCGTCGGACCACGTGACATGGTTTCGTGGTTGCACAATCACCTTCTTGTAGTCGTTGTTCGACACATGCATGACAACGGTCATGCAGTCCCGAGGTCGCAGTGGAAGATTTCCAGCGGGAACAGCATATTGGTCGTTCCCAAAATGTCTCTCTCACCGACCTGGAATCACTTTGACGTGATCCCAACGAAGCACGTTCTTCAACACAGTTTGCTCGACTCTTAACGTCGAGAATATGACGATGACCCAATCCGTGCCACAGAAGGTGTTCATCATCTCCGGCAGCACTGCGAATCTCTCATCTGACCACTCGTGAGGGGCTGTCGACTTGCGCGGGCACAGGTCCAGGACTGCGAGGCGGCAATTGAGCTTCTTAACAGCTCGTGTGACTCCTCCGATGGTTGCAGCGCCTCGTACGATGCCAAGCATATCGGAAGAAACGTAGTGTGATCGTTCTTTGCATCCCACATCATGTGCCGCGCATTTGCACTTATGCGCCGCAACTCGTCCTGCAGCTGGTCGATAGCCCCGATGATTTCATGCATGAACACTTTCAGATAATACGGACACTCCGCATATAGTGTCCGCGTCAACTTGAACCCTCCCACCTTGCCCACCTTTGGTTCGTCAATGCCGCCCAGACGTTTTGGCACATCTTTCGCCTTGTGAGCTGACACCTTCGTCTTATTTTCCTCCCATTGCTCCTTCGTGAGTCCCGCCGGGGCAAATCTGTCCATCTTCCGTTTTGAAAACCACATAGTTGAAAAGGCGTATCATGTATCTCTCACGTCGAACCTCAACCCGAATGTTGTCCATGTTCAACAAGTTTTTGTTGAACATCCGCCCCGTCGTGACAACCACCTGGCGGTCCAATATCATTTCCAACACCATTTCCTTCTCCCTTGCAGTCAAGTCTTCGAACAGCTTCCACGCGCTTTGCGGAGGGTCTCGAACGCGGACGTAGTGCCCGTCAGGCGATTTGTTGGACTGGACGTAGTGCACTAGCTCCTTCTTGCCTTTAATTGACAACGCGCATGGACCCGGACCAGCAATGGCCACTTGTTTCCCTTGCTGATCCACCGGAGGCACGCCAGTCTTATCAGGCAAGAGTCCCGCCTCCCACGAGTCAAAGAATCGGGTTAGAAGGTCCCACACTCTGTTGCCAACTGTTGCCAACACAAGATGCGATCTCACTAAATTCGACCAATTCGTGTTGTAGACCGGCTTCAGTGTTTGCCCTCGCAGTTCGGAGTCGGCAGTGAGTCGGACGGCTCTGCGGATGAATTTCTGATAGTTATCTCTCAAGGCCTCCTTATTTGTTTCCGGCGGTGCGTGTTCCCAATCGCCAGAAGGCATCCCCATGTCAACCCACAAGTCTCTGATATTTTTCACCGACACACGGAAGGAATCCGGGATAGCTCGTGTCGCCCTTGTGTTATCGGAAGTCGAAATATATCATCGAAATACAGAGCACGTGCATGCCATGAACGCACACCCCACTTCTGCGCAGCCGACGAATTGGCCGCAACCAGTCTCCGACAAGCCTCTACCGTGTGTTGTCCACCCACCGCATACCAATGGTACGTGTGCATGTCGTCTGCGTCGAAATGTTCAGGTTTCACACGCACCCACTGTTTTTTACCACGAATAGCCACTTCCGTCACAGGGGCCAATATCCATGTGGCCCTGTCCCACTCTCCCTTCTTCTCTGGCAGTTCCATTGCTCTCACGATGGAAACGACGAGCATTTCATTGAGTGGTCTGACATTGTACTGCACAGGGCCTCCCACGGGGTTTGGCAAAACCTTTATGCAGTCCACGTAGATCTCTTGAGGTCGTTTTCGCGGGCCACTCACACCTCTCTTTTTCGGGTTTCCCCGATTGTCTTTCCAAATGTTGCACGTATGCGGTGTGAGACGCGCCCAAACCAAGTATCTCCGCTCGACGTCGCTCACTCTGCATTTTTCGTTTGCGCGAGTTCGCGGATGCTTGTGTGCCAGCAACTTCGACGTCCCGGTCCATTTCTCCACCGCTTTCTTCCTCGTCGTTGTCCTCGTCTCTGCCTTTGTTCTTGCTTCCGTGCGGAGTTCTTTCTTCCGCATCTCCCGGATTTTCCTCCTCCTCGATGCTCTCCCCTTCTTGGTTCTCCTCCTCCTCGTCGTTCTCCCCTTCGTCTCCACCCCCCTCATCCTCTCTTGCATTGTCATCCCCAGCGGCCTCGCGGCTCTCCCGCTCATCACCCTCGCCCTCCGTGGCGTCGCCCCGCATACTTCCTTCCTCGGCGCCTCACCCTGTTCACTCGACTTCTCCTCACGTTCGTCAACCCCGTCATCCCCATCGGGACAGTGGCTGGATGACGGCACCCCACGGGTGTCCCACTCAACATTCTCTTCGTCCTTGTCACGTGGTGAAGCCTTTTTCCGATGTTGCGCCCGACGAGAAAAGACCGACGGTGCCTTGGCGGCCTTCGACGGTTTTTCCTTTGTGTTCCCCGGTTTGGGAAACCCGTCCTGAGGAGAAGGTGTTTCGGTTGTCACGACGAATACCTTTTCGGTTGGTGCGGTGTTCTTCATCCTTGTCGAATGCGTTCCACCTTCAGTTCCGACGCCGAGAGCGGATCGCAGCGTAACTTGCTTAGACTCCCCGTGCTTGTGTGTCCTCAAAACGCCCTCCAACACCTCCCTTGAAGTGTCCGCAGACACGAACGGTGTCGACAAACGCACGTTGCTGTCCACCTTGACCTTAAAGCCCGTGACTTTATAGCACGGCGTTTTCTTCAGGAACTCGATCGGTCCCACCATCTGGACAACCTTCAGTTTCTTCGACCTATCAAACGGAGGCAACGCCACATGCCGTAGCCAACAAATCTCGACAAATGCAGTGACACTTTCTTGTATTTCCCGGACAGTTCGACGCCGCCACTATCGAAGCATGTGGGCAAGTGAAAATCGTAGTACCCCTCCTCGCCGACAAATTTGTCCACGCCATAACTGTCAATCCCACCGCACACGTAAAAATGTCCGCCATCGTCCTTCAGGAATATCACGGGACCGCACCCCTGTTGCTTAACCCCGCCGAACCAATCAAGTGCCAATTCCATCCCACGGAACAATGCCGCTCTGCCAACCACCTTGGGGGTGGACGTCTGCGACGAAGAAGGAACCACATGTACATGCCCACGAGAAAATAATATGTGATCAGCACAAGCGAGGCAAAGGTCATCGATGCCCGAGGGCATTGGTCACTCGACACCTAATGGTGCAGACGGGGCCACCATCGGTTGTCGTCGCGGCGCTCGATGGTGCACACGGGGCGACCATCGGTTGTCGCTGCGACACCCGATGGTGCACAATAAGAAACCATCCCTATGACACAAGTGGTTATCGCATAGGTGAATATTCGCAGATGAACAGTCTGAATGTGGAAAAAACTCAAGTGGTTTTTCGGGTTTGAATTCTTGTTTTTACGTCATGAATAATGGATTGCGATTGTGAAAGCTTGGGATGGAAGATGTTGTTCATGGTGAATCCATGTTTAGTTGTTTAGGGGAAACCATGTTTGCTAGTCGAGATGATGTTTTGGATGACGTAGGTTGCTTTCGTAACATTCGCCCTTTCATGATCTTTATTGTAGCGGACCTCGGGTTGGCCTGTGAGACCAGCCCCTTGGCCTGTTCTCACAGGCCTGTGTTGTATTCGGGGTAGGCCAGTCCAGGCCGGTACCTCTGTCGGTACCAGCCAGTCTAGTCCAGTCCCGTCAGTCCGCTGGGGTATACCCCAGCCATTGTCTGTTTTCAGGCTCATTCATCACTTGCACATTTTGGAGTACGTGCGTTGGAGTCTTGCGTGGGGAGCTGCGTCGTGCCAACTTGCTCCCCCTTCTTCCTCCATCTCCATCTCTGTCACTAGCGGAGCACCACACCTGGTGGGTCCGCTACATTCATGATCTGTTGTGTAATCCGATCCTAAAAATCATAAGGATCTTCAAGAGGTGAAGACCTTGAAAACCTGCTTCCCATTTTGATATATATGATTTTCAGGGTCAAAGAGCGTAGGTTCCTTTCGTAACATTCGCCCCTTCATGATTTTCATGATCTGTTGTGTGATCTGATCCTGAAAATCATGAAGATCTTGGAGAGGTAAAGATCTCGAAAGCGTCTACTTACCTACTCCTAAGGCTATCTATAGAGGACCCCTGCAAGCATAGCTACCTCGAAAGTTTCATGATCTATTTTGATATTCATAACTTTCATGGGAAATAGAGTAGAAGATTTCGAGGTCTTCACCTCTCCAAGATCTTCATGATTTTCAGGATCAGATCACACAACAGATCATGAAGATCATGAAGGGGCGAATGTTACGAAAGCAACCTTCGCTCTTTTGCCATGTTAGCGAGTCGAGATGATGTTTGGGATGACATAGGTTGCTTTCGTAACATTCGCCCTTTCATGATCTTCATAATTTGGTGTGTAATCCGATCCTGAAAATCATGAAGATCTTCAAGAGGTGAAGACCTTGAAAACCTCCTTCCCATTTTGATATATATGATTTTTAGGGTCAAAGAGCGTAGGTTCCTTTCGTAACACTCGCCCCTTCATGATCTTCATGATCTGTTGTGTGTTCTGATCCTGAAAATCATGAAGATCTTGGAGAGGTGAAGATCTCGAAAGCTTCTACTTACCTACTCCTAAGGCTATCTATAGGGGACCCCTGCAAGCATAGCTACCTCGAAAACTTCATGATCTATTTTGATATTCATAACTTTCATGGGAAATAGAGTAGAAGTTTTCGAGGTCTTCACCTCTCCAAGATCTTCATGATTTTCAGGATCATGAAGATCATGAAGGGGCGAAGATTACAAAAGCAACCTACGCTCTTTGACCCTGAAAATCATATATATTAAAACGGGAAGGAGGTTTTGAAGGTCTTCACCTCTTGAAGATCTTCATGATTTTCAGGATCTGATTACACAAAGCTTGTACCCCATTTTTGCTAGTCGAGATGATGTTTCAGTTGGCGTAGGCTGCTTTCGTAACATTCGCGCTTTTATGAGCTTCATGATCTGTTGTGTGATTTGACCCTGAAAATCATGAAGATCTTGAAGAGGTGAAGACCTTCAAAGCTTCTACCCCATTTTCATACTCATGATTTTCAGGGACGGAGGGCGTTATGAAGGGGTGAATGCCCTAAAGGGCTTGAAAACACCCCCATTCACCCTTAAGGTGGGGTGCTTTCATGAAGGTCTTCACCGCTTGAAGAATCCTCAAGGCGTAAATGGGTAAACTGATGTTGCTACTCTCAATCTCCTACACTTCGGAATCTTGATGATCACCATTCTGAAATCTTACAAAGCCGTCCCAAAAAAAAGTTTAAAAAAATAAAAAATAAAAAAAATTCTTATAAAACCACGATGAAAACCTGAAAGCGGTGAATGTCTCGAAGTGTTTTCAGGCCCTTCAGGGCATTCACCAGTTCAGGCTTGTTCAAATTCTTCAGGATGCCTACAGAGCTCAACAGTGGGATTCATAGGGGAAAGTGTTTCCGGGCCCTTCAGGGCGTTCACCAGTTCAGGATTGTTCAGATTCCTCATGATGCTTAAAGAGCACGACAGCCAAAGGGGCGGATGATGCTTAAAGAGCACGACAGCCAAAGAGGGGGGCTGCTTTCAGGCCCTTCAGGCGTTCACCAGTTCAGGATTCTTCAGGTTCCTCAGGATGGGGGGGTGCTTTCAGGCCCTTCAGGGCATTCACCAGTTCAGGATTGTTCAGATTCCTCAGGATGCCTACAGAGCTCAACAGTGGGAGCCATAGGGAGAAGTGTTTTCAGGCCCTTAAGGGTGTTCACCAGTTCAGGATTGTTCAGATTCCTCATGATGCTTAAAGAGCACGACAGCCAAAGGGGCGAATGATGCTTAAAGAGCACGACAGCCAAAGAGGGGGGCTGCTCTCAGGCCCTTCAAGGCGTTCACCAGTTCAGGATTCTTCAGGTTCCTCGGGATGGGGGGGTGCTTTCAGGCCCTTGAGGGCGTTCACCAGTTCAGGATTGTTCAGATTCCTCAGGATGCCTACAGAGCTCAACAGTGGGAGCCATAGGGGGAAGTGTTTTCAGGCCCTTCAAGGCGTTCACCAGTTCAGGATTGTTCAGATTCCTCATGATGCTTAAAGAGCACGACAGCCAAAAAATAAAAAATATATATATATTTTTTTATTTTTTATTTTTTATTTTAAAATTGGTGAAGAATTTTATTGTAACCCTGAGGCAAACGTTGTTCAGTTTATTTTTCTGCATACCATAGTTTTTTTTTTGGATTTTTCAGATTCCTTTTTTCTTCTTTTTTTTTTGTCGGAACCTTCCTTGGTCCTTGCACGGGATGGCCACTCGGGACCCGGCTCGCCCGACTGGTAGTCTAGCTAGAAACAGAATATTTATTAAAAAAAAAAGTTATAAACTTCATACGAAAGCAGTAAGGCATCCTTCCACGTGGAAAACCAGATAAATGAAGCACAAATCTGTAGAGAAAAAATGACATTCAAACTTGGAAAGTATAACCTTTGGTTGCTACGTTACGTAAAGAAAGTCACTTGCTTGTCATTGGGCCTCGCTCCTGGCCAAAGCCATAACCAGTTTTATTATCCTCCTTCCCAGTGGTTTTCCTCATGGTCGTAGACATAAGCAATCTTTGTTCTCAAACATCCAGATGGACTTACTCTTGCGCACAACTATCGATCTCTTTCCTGCATGCGAGCTCCAAGCATGAGCTCAGTTCATGGTAAACCTTCTCATTTTCAATAGCGCTTTCAAGGACTGCTTCACCAACAGAAGTGCTTTACTTAATACTACAGCGACCATACTCATGTACAGAGTCTAGATAACCGGCCTGCAAATACTAGAAGTGACTATGAAAAAAGGAGAAGAGTTGTAATTAGCACACATTGAAAGAAAAGAAAAAAAAACTCATACAGTGCACTCAGAGAAACCATGAAAGAAAGAAAAAACATCTTGAAAAACATTCAGATTCTAAAATAAATAAAAATGATGACATCCCCATGCACATGCTGCCGAGTAGATAGTCTTACGATCGAACCCACTGGCTGTTAGTACTCAGTTGCAGCAGCTACGCTGCCCACATTTCTCTCCTTTTATCCTCCTCCTCCTCCTCCTCCTTTCCTTCCTCTCCTTGCCAGTCTACATTCATCGTCAGCTGTTTTTCCCCCACCCCACTTTTCTCCCCTGTCAAACTGCAGCACTCCCGCTGATTAAGTCACAAAGGTTGTGAGACTGGACTGGAGAAGTGCGATTGTTAAAGTGTCACTCACGTTGTGCGATTGTTAAAGTGTCACTCATGTTGTGCGATTGTTAAAGTGTCACTGACGCTGTGCAGTTGTTGAAGTGTGACTCATGTTGTGCGGCTGTTGAAGTGTCACTCACGCTGTGCAGCTGGTGAAGTGTTACTCACGCTGCACGACTGATGGAAGTGTAACTCACGCTGTGAGACTGATGTCACTCAACACTTAGCGACAGGCGAAGTGTCACTCACGATGTGAGATTGGTGAAGTGCCACCCAACGCTCTGCGACTGGCGAAGTGTCACTCACCATTGTCCAACTGCCCAAGTGTGTATTGACTCGGTTGCAGGAGGCAGAATCTCCTGTCAAAAGGCATAAACCAATCTGTTCTGCTCCTTCTGCATATACTTATTCTTTTGGCCATGGACATCAGCAATCTCTGTTCTCCTCCTTCCACATGGACTTCCTCCTGACCATAGGCATTACAAAACTCTGTTATCATATTTCCATGTGGCCTTACTCCTGGCCATAAGCATCACCAATCTCCAATCTCGTCCTTCCG